GCTGCTTTATGATTTTGAAATACCCACATAACCTTCTTGTGGTTAAACTAAAGTGGAATAGCATTGTTTGACCTGCTATGGTACTGGTAGCCCATTTTTTATTGATTTTTTTCTTTTCTTTCTTCCCTTCATTTTTTTTGTTTTCCTTTCCTTTTTTTATATATATTTTTCTTCACTTTCTGTCTTCCTGCATTACCACACAATCGCCACTGCTATACTACTACCACTATCTCTATGTTCTACCTACCTACCACCACCATCCGCCACCACTCTCTCTCCTTGCCTAATTTCCCTCCTTCCATTTCCTTTTTCCTCTCCCTTCTTCTCTCCCCCTTTCCTTTCTCTCTCTCTCTCTATCCTTTTCTTTCTTGATGATCGGATTTGGTCACTAGAGAGAAGATTTGGCTGCAACTAAATCTCTGTTCGTAACCAAATCTTCTCCGTGTGATTAGATAAGGTCACTAGAAGGAAGGGAAATGAGAGGGAGGCATGGGAACAATGGAGCACAACAAGAAATTTGGCCTTTTGTGACAATAAAAAGTCATCACTAAAAATCAAAAAGTCGTCATTATATGAATATAGTGACGACTTTTTCCATTGTCACATGGTTGTCACTAATTCTATGTCACAAATAGGTACGTGTGATAACTCTTTTAAAGTCATCACTGAATCTTATTATTTAATGACGAGAACTAAGTCGTCACTAACGGTTGTCATTCTGTGACGAATTTTCTTGTCACTGTTTCACATATTTTTTTGTTATAAAAGGTAGCAAAAGTCGTCACAAATTTGAACTCTACAGTGACGACTTGAACTTGTCACTATCATTCCTAGTATTCAGTGACAAGAATAGTCGTCACTTAGTGAACTTACAACTTTGTTTGGAAGATCTGCAATTGTTCATTACAAATATAGCATTGTTACGGCATTTCCGACAATTATAGTAAAAAATTAAATTTGCATGATAGTGACAACTTTGAAGGTTATCACTGAGTTTGTCTTAAAGAGTTGAAATTGGCCATTACAAATATAGTATTGCCATGGCATTTTCAACAATTATAGTAGAACATTCAATTTGACAAAAGGCAAAATCAACCATAACATTTAATTTGACAAAAGGCAAAATCAACGTAGAATATATGCCGCAAATTCATATATTTGGCCATAACACATCTATAAATTAATCAAAACAAAAGTGAACCACAAATGTTGGGTCCTAAATCCCACATAATCAATTCAAGTAGTAATGGCCAATACATATCCTTCCCAAAAGATAAGAGTACTAGATTTCTAAACTAAAACATAGACTATAGCACCAATGTCATATTTCAATCATCTCTAGCAGCATATCCAACAGTCTTCTCACGATCAATATGAAGCTAGACTGCATTGAAAATAAACATTTTTTTTAGAGTTTCAGCATATCCAACTATTGTGAACTTAATAAGTCAAAAAATTAGTCAAAAAAAGAGTTTCAGAATATGTGAATTTTAAGAAAGCAGCCACCCCAAGTTTATAAGACTCGTCCTTTCTATTATCAAGTTTCATCCAATTGTTGTCCATGTCCTAGAGTTACAAATCCAGAACATAAGTCACAAATTTTTATCTACACATTACAACCAGAAATAAGCATAGATAAGCTAGTTATGAAACAATAGATTTCTTGAGGTGAATCTATAAAGATATAAATGCAATTCCTAATATGCATAAGTAGGCAAGGGGTAAAACAGGAAAATCTCTACTTCTCTGTGTTTTTTCCAGATTATATATTAAACATACACTTTTGCTAGCTTAGACAATCATCCATGAATTTCATTTTGAAGGAACAAGGAATGGAACTATTAAGTGGCAGCAACTGCAAATCTGTTAGTGTTGTTGCAGTTGCATCCTTTAAAAGAGAGACTAATAAGTCAAAAACAATCTATTAAAACATAGTTTAAAGAAGTTACCTGACAAGTAATGAAAAATTAGAAGAACAGAGGTAAAAACAGGCCTAATTGTCTCTTGAGTCCAGTGTAAAGCAGCTGCAAAAAAGGCAATGAAAAAGCTGAGAACCATTTTTCAATTGAGGCTCCAATGAAAAAGCTGATTAGTGAACAAATATACAGAAAATAGAACACCAAACATAATGCACCAAGTGTAACAACCCATTTAATGGGATTAGATATGTTACCATCAGGAACAAAATCAGTTGCACAGAAAGTTGAGAAAAAGAATAAACTACATGCATAAAGCTTCTAAGATTTAGTGAGGAAAATGGACTGAAAAACATGGTACTGACAGATTTTAACTAGGAGTGGTAGGACTGAGTGAGGAAAAAATGGGTAAAGAGAAAATTTTTACTTGAGGTTTATACAGGTCAAGTTTATGTCATGATAAGTTCTGTCACAAAGATATTCGTGCCATCGTCTTCATTTTCTCCACCTTTATGTATACTTCAGTTTCATAATGATAGAAACTCTTCAAATTAGTGAACTGTGGTAGTTGTTTAGATCAATAGAGTTCCATATTGTCCTTAATAGAATATTGAGTTTGAGCAAAACTCTTATCTGGATAAAAATTTCTCCCATTGCTGACCTTTTAGGCTTTAGCTAGCCTCTCTGCAATTCCAGTTAAGTGCTGTTATGAAGACATGACAAGAAAAAAAGAAGCAGAAAACAAGGAAATATACAAGTCTATTATTTAGTTTGAGAATCCTATTCAATTCTTGAATGGCATATGAAGTATGAACATGAAAGTATTAATTATACTTATAGATTGAGTAGAGCAGTAATAGCATTCATGGCTCTTAAAAAGGAAAAATAAAAAATGTGCTATGACTAACAAATTTAAGAATCTTGTCCATTTCCAAAATGTTATTTCATTTTCATAAGATTCTTTCTTCTTGATGCGACATTGTCGTATATACTGTGCTCAACTAAGCTTATGAGTGGGCCGTTAATCCATTTTGCTTTTACAATATAAATTATAAGAAAAAGAAAGAGGAGAGAGAATGAGGGTAACAAGACTAATATAACAGATGTCAAAACAAAAACTCCATTACATTTTTTGGTTTCGAAGTTAAATTGTATCCCATAATTGTGGAAAGGCAGCTGGAGCCAACCTAGTGCTATCACCAAGTAGCCAAAAGTACCTCTAACAAGTGTAGTTGCATGAGTTTTATCAGCTTCAATGGACCTTGAAGTTCCAAAATCTGACACTTTGGCTATGTGCTTCCCATCCAAATGTATATTGTTGGACTCGATGTCTCTATGAAAGATGGGAATTGCGGCTGCCAAGTGTAAATATGCCAATGCTCCTGCTACTTCACTTGCTATTCTTAGTCTGAAGTTCCAAGTGAAGGAGAATGAATCATCTATCTAATTATGAATGAGGTTGGAGAGGGTGCCATTAGGGATAAATTCATAGACCAATAGAGGAACTTCTGTCTCTAAGCAATAACCCAGTAGTTTAACTATATTCTTGTGGTTGACTTGTTAAAGAACAATAACCTCGTTAATGATTCAGTACCATAAAGCTTCTGTCAGTACCATGTTTTTACTTTATCTTTGGCATTAAATGCTTTTATCTAAATTAGTAGAACCATATATGGACTCTTTACAGGTTAAGTGCAATCCTATATAAAGCACATCAAAACCAACTAGAGAATTCTGTTTGCTTGGCAGAATAGTCAGCAGTAGTTGTTGACAAGAAATTCTAAAACTAAAAAAGAAGCTCCATTCATTCACAAGCAGGCCGTCAGCATAGCTAAACAGATTTTCTCTCTTTGGCAAAGTGGACGAGAAGAAGATACAGCACTAGGACAATCTCTATTCAAAATAAGTAAATCTTGAAAGAGTTGCAAAAATTTCTAAACTTAAGCGGGGCTGTGATTTAAAACTTGGCCCTTCACTGTGTCTATCCTGCATATAACTAACTCAATGCAAGTGTTCTACAAGTTACCTTTGCTGTGTTGAAAACAACATTTTTGCAGTCTGCAAGAATGCTCACAGACCAAGCAGGAAGGAAATATGAATTCCCCTTGAATGTGACGTTGGCATCTACTTTCCTATCATAGTTAGCAAGAAAGGCTACACAATCGTTTGAAGTTTCATAGTACACATGTGCCTGATCAAACAAATTCATTCTGTTTTTTTGGATAAATTCACTATTTTGGATAAATATACTGCATCCTTTGCCTATTTCCGAAGACAAACTGTAATGATCATCAGAAACGTCTATTGCATATGTCCTCTTATGAAAAACTCTTTCTCTTATCACTACCCACCATTGTAGTGGGGGCAATGGGGAAGAAGTCCTTGAATTAAATCAGTCGGTTCAAATGTTCAACAGAAAAATTGGCCTCAACCTACTGTTGTCCAACTCATTACAGGAATAGAAATATCGAGTCAAGAAACGGGTTCTTCATTTTCCTTTTAAACAGGAACCAACCAATATCAAATCTAAAATTACAGAATAAAAACTCTTCAAAAAATCCCTTCATTACACAATCAACAGATATTTACAACACCCAACACTAAACTCAAATCCAAGCACAGACTGTGATAAGCCTACACATAATGGGCAGAAGACACATTAACAAACAACCATTAGACAGAAATGTTCGAAAATAAATGGAAAATATTGAGATCATTTACCTCAAATTATGCCATGACAACCTTAGGTCTTGTTTTCCTTCTGATTCAGTCTTCAAATTCTGGCTTTTCCCCAAAATTCATGGTACTGGCTCAATTTAGGGATATTTGCTATCTACTACTCTACTAAAGCTGCCCTATCAGCTTGGGTAGCTCTTTTTTTTTTTTTAACAAAGATGATGGGAAAGTTTATTGAGAATGATACGTGCCTCATTGCTAAATTACAGAACCAAGAGTACCAACAGCTACCATTGGACAAAAATGAAATACCATATCTCAATGGAAATATTCAGAAACAAGAGTTTCCAGTTTTGAGTAACATTAGGCCAAAATTACCTCTTGTTAGGAATCTCCACTGTTTGAAACTGAATTCAGCTGCACAGGGCAAACAATAACTTGTGCAGCATTTCAACCTAAATCATCTAAAATTGCAAAACTTTTATAACTTCTTCACTATGACCAGACACTCGTTCAAAAACCTCTCAAGCTCTGATGTATATACACTGGGAAAAGTCCGATAATGGTCAACATGAGGTGATGCACCAAAGTTGAATGCCCACACATTTTTCCCACTTCTCTTCTGTTCTTCAACAAATGACTCAACTGATGAGAATGGAATGACCTTATTAGCTGTACTATACAGATAAAGATGTGGGAAAGAAGGCCGGTTTTTTGAAAGGACGGAGATTATCTTTGTCAACTGCTGTTTGACGTCGTTCAAGTTTAGGAGATAAGAGAAGAGCTTCTCAAATGCTGACAAAAGTAAGGTTTTAACGGACAGAGGCTCCTTTTCTCGCAACTTTGAGGTATCAACTCCACTTTCCAATTGATTTCTTCCTACAGCTACAACTGATGGATAAGATGATGAATTGTATTTCTTTAGCAGGGCTGCAGTAAATCCAGCAGCCCAGACCTTGGGATCTATATTAGCGTCACCTCCTGAATCAACAATAATTCCCTTGATTTTCTCCAATAAATCTGGCCTACTTTGCAAATTCTCAAGAATGGAACCATGCCTCCTCAGATGCTTCGGATTCGACCCAAGCCATCCCAACAAACTGCAGCAAAGATTGGCCCTTTATCCCCGATGACCCCATTTTCTCTAGGGTGAATTCCATCAAGAGCGTAATTCCAGTGGAAAGATTTAGCTTTTTGGTCAGAGAAAATGCGGAAGAAGGTTGAGGTGGAGAAGAATGAGTTGAGGAGAAACAGTGAAGAATTGAGGGAATGGGAAAAGCCAAATGGGGTTGTTGAGGGGTGGTGGGGAATGTGGGCGTTTGAGAAAATAATAGAGTGGTGATTTTGGGGGTTAATAAACGAAACTGCAGGAGTTGGAATTGGGCGATGATGATGATGATGATAGTAAGGAGGAGGAGAAGGAAGCAGTGTGGAAAAGGGCTTTAGAGGAAGCGGCTTTTGGAGAGGGAAAAGGGAGTTGGGAAGATGGTGTCCGAAGGCAAAGAAAGAGGGAAATGAGTTTTGTCTGAAATTTGGCTAAGTGTTGAGTGTTTTTCTTCCAAATCAACTTTAAATGACGTTGTTTCTGCTTCTTTTAGAACCCCGCCTCTACTCTTTCAATTTTCAGCTTCCTGCTTCCACTATTGCACACTAAAAAATACGCCTTGTCTCTAAATTGTTGAACCTTTTTTAATAAAAGTAACGCCTTCTATCTCTTTTTCTTTTCCCAATCGTTGTGTAATTAACATTGTTTATTATGTTGAGCTTTTTCATTTCACAAGTTATATTAAAACTTTGGAATATGAAAATTTAGTATTTTTTGATTTTTTTCTTTTTGTTCTAACATAGGTTTTTTAGGATCTCTACAAAAAATAATGTTCAAAAACTAAAAGGCTTATTAAAAATATATTTATGATTCAAAAAAAGACCTTTTAATGTAAATATTTTTGGTATCAATTTAATAATTTTATCAATTATGCACGAATTGTGGTTTGACAAGACCAAACAATCTGTTTAGTTGATCAAATAACCAAAATGGTTTACTAATACATGCATGAAACACTAAATCTATTTGATACAAGTACTGATTCATACACCATAAAAAATTTGATTATTGTAAATTGTAACACATAACAAACGCCAGTCATGCAATTGTCAAGATTTTTACTTAATTTCATATTAAATTTTATTATTCTTTGCCATTATTTTCACACTATGTTAATCAGTAATTTTCCATATGTTGTCAAGAGAACTAAATAATGAATTCATGATATTTTTTAACTTTATAACAAGGTATTAGCTAAATTTAGAATAATTAAAAAATAGGTATACATTTTTTTTACAATACCTTCCTTATTTTGCCAATGATAAACACAAAATACAGTGTAAAGCATAGGGTGCCATAATAGAATTAATAAAATTGGTTTATCACGTACGAGGCTAAATTGCAAAAGATAAGGTGTCATGGTAGAGTTAATGAGATTAGTTTACCACATACGGGGCTAAAATATAAAAGTTCGGTTGTCATAACATAATTAATTAAATTTATTTACAGCATATAGGCCATATAGAAAAAATTAGGGTGGCATATGGGGCTAAAATGTAATAGTTAGGGTGTCATATAGTAGAATTAATAAAATTTATTTACAACATATGGGCCATATTGAAAAAATTAAAGTGGTATGTGGGTTTAAAATGTAAAAATTAGGGTGTCATAGTAGAATTAATAAAATTTATTTACAACATATATGCCATATTGAAAAAATTAGGGTGACATAGTAGAATTAGTGAAAGTAAGTTGGGAATAAACACCTTGGACAGTGACGACTAGTTGTTGTCACTAATTTAGAACCGACAACTATATTGTGACGATATTTTAAGTTATCACTGTAGGACAAATTTCAATGACAACCTATTTTCCAGTCGTCACAATGGTGATCTCCCGCCACACTGGCTAGTTGCGCGCCATCCATATTGTGACGACTTATCCCATGTTGTCACTGTTGACGGGTGAACCCACGATCAACTATGACGACATTAAAACTCGTCACTAAAGTTTTCAATTGTGACAAGTTTCTCTGTTGTCACAAAAGGCCAAATTTCTTGTAGTGGAGAGAAGAGGAGAGAGGACGAGGGAGGGAAAGGGAAAGAGGAGGAGGGAAAGGGAAGTGGAGAGAGAGAGAGATATGAGAAGACGGTGGTGGTGGGTAATGGTGGCGGCTGGTGGAGGAGGGGGAGGAAAAAAGAAGATGGGGGATGAATACTTTCTAAAAATTTTATAAGTATCTCAAAAATTTTAAAATTTGTAAAAGCATCCAAGATAGTTTAGGCAAAGGAATTTAAGCACCAAATATAAAAAGAAAAAATTAAATAATAATAATAATAATAATACATCACTTGTAGGTCACATATAGGTTACAAGTGAAATTCCATATTGTTTAAAGTTTAAGAGGATTATATGGACATTTCAAAATCATAAGGTGTCCGATTGATTTTTGGCAAAACCACGAGGAGGTTTTCTGTATTTTACCTTTTGTATTACCGGTTTATTTGGGATTTTATAATAAGTTGACACACATCCCACCATTTTTTATAATTATTGAATAGTTACCAATTCCTTTGAATATGAATTTATCTAAATTTAAACTTTATTAATAAATTTCCATACTTTTGATGACCATATTCTATTTTTTTTCAAAATTCTTTTGATATTTTTGAATTGACATTAAATTTGAAAAGCATGAGTGTACTTAATAAGTTCAACATTAGTTGGACAAGTATTCAAACATGTGACAACTGGAAAGAACAAGAATCCATTCATTTAGTTTATGCTTGTAAAGAGCTAATTGTGATTTCATAATGCACAAATAATGCACGTGCAAATCCTACTACTTATTTTTTGAAACTTAAGGTATTGTTATGTAGAGAGTTACTTCAACATTTTTGTACTTGTTAACGAGTAAACCTGATATCTTTAGGATGCAACCATTCTAAACATGTCTTGATGTTTTAGAAAGACACATAATTTGAAGTATATAATTTGTTGGCATAGACTAATGTAGAACTTACCATTGAAAAGAGAAATTTTAGTGGCATAATTGGATCCTTAAACAATCTAATAAAGGCATGGCTTACCATTTTGCAACCGTATATCATTACAAATTGAGGAGCTAGTACACTATCCCACTGGAAACAAATCTCAAACACTAAATAGCCTCAATCGGACAACTATATGTTTACCAAATGTAAGGGAAATAATTGAAATAAGTGGAATCTCCTACACTTATCCCAAAAATTTACCACAGGATTAATATTTGTACATGAAGAGGTAGTTATCCAAGGGTTTAATCCTCATGGTTGTGGAAAATAAATAAATATATATATATTGAAAACAACTTTCCAGACTCCAGCTCTTAAAAAGCTCCCAACTACCCATCTCTTTTTCATAGAATTTGATTTATTTTAATTAGATAAAATTACTTAATATTTGACTATATACTTATGATATTGAAGCTATCAATTATTAGCATTTCCTAAAGTTGACTAATTCATGTTAAATTTACATATGACCTCAAATTGAAATCTTAGCAAACTTATATATGACTATAATTCAGAAAGATATAAATGACCATAACTAAAAAGTCTAGAAAAGCAAATTAGTAATCTCAAGATAATTCAAATAATTAAGAATGTACAAAAGTAATGGGCATTCTTAATGTCAGGATCAAGCGCTTACCATTGCACCAAAAGCTATAGCTGTTAGCGAAGGCGCAACTTTATTTCCTTAACCACAATGGCAGCGCAAAGCACCGTACCACGCTCGGCCAGCATGAGGGGCTGCACCCCTGGGTGCCACGGGCTGGGCGGTTAGTCCCTTCGAGCCGGGATCTGAGGGATGTTGCTGATTAGGCCAACAATCCCTCCCCCAGCAACAGCCAGGGAGACTCGAACCCGCGACCTCGCTCTGATACCACTTGTCAGGATCAAGCGCTTACCATTACACCAAAAGCTATAGCTGTTAGCGAAGGCGCAACTTTATTTCCTTAACCACAATGGCAGCGCAAAGCACCGTACCACGCTCGGCCAGCATGAGGGGCTGCACCCCTGGGTGCCACGGGCTGGGCGGTTAGTCCCTTCGAGCCGGGATCTGAGGGATGTTGCTGATTAGGCCAACACTTAAGATTAAAGAAAATATCATGAATAGGAAACTAAAAGCGTTTACAAACAGAACTTTCTAAGATTTTATCGAAACTTGCCAGAAAGTAGATGTATGACGAATTAGTTTTGTGCGTGTCTAGAGTATAAAAGTGTAGTAGATTGAAAAGCAACCTCTTACAGACATAAGTGATGTGAGAAATACAATGTAGTCAAGGTGAATGTTTTAGTATGTCCATATCTTACCTTATAGCTAGTTCTACGTACCCATTGTTCGGTGGAAGATAAAGCAGAGGGATCAATCTCTAATCTTGGACTCAGATCTAAAGCGTTGAGTACCATAACAACTCCATTTCTCATGGTAGCAAATACCACCTAGTTGCGACATGAATTAAAATGTTTCCATTTGAAATCCTTAAACAGAAGTCTCTAATGGTCCACTACAAGTATTTGAGAAATGATCGTCTAAAGAAGTCAAATACAATATATCTCCTCTCCAAGTGTTTGTGGAGGATGAAGTGGTAAAACAACTGCACTGCTGATGGGTTCCAGGCTTTTTTTATTCATACATTGCAAGTTGAGTCTCGTGGTGGCAAGAAAGTGCATTTGATCCTTGTGAAATTGGATATCAGTCTCTGATGTTTGCAACAACAACCACCACCAAATTAATATCTTAATTGAAATGCTTTTCTTTTTCTCCTGCCTAATTGTATTCCAGACATTGATTTTCAACAAAGAGGAATCATACGATTCAGGAATTTTATACATGAGGGGTCATAGCAGGAACAGTTTTTTGGAAATTTTTAAACTCATATAATTTGCACAAACAACATGCATAATCAAGATGCAAGAAATAAATAAATAAAAGGAAAATGGGTGGTGCAAAAGGAGGAAATGAAGGAAAGGGTAAGCCAATCTTGCAACCATATGCTATTAACTAAACAATAAATCATGAAACCTATCTTAACCAATGGAAATGGCTTGG